GGAAAGAGATATTGTGTTTTTTCATTGCCTATAAAAAGCTGTATTTAGAGCCGTGCAAAATCTTGCATAACTAAATGTAAAACTACTTTGTCTGGTTTACTAAGTCTTAAGTTTGACTATTCAAAATGAGACTTATAGTATCAGTTGGAAGTAATGTAGTACTTGGTGTTATCCAGGCCAAACACAGCTGTTTCAGCAGAATTCTGTTTTGTGTTTGAAGTGAAGTGGTCTGTTATAGCATCCTATCGGTGGTGACTACTTGTTTCTTGCCCTGGCACTGAATTAATGCACATTTTTTGATGTATGACATTATTAAAGGTAACATTATTTCTGTCTGTACAAACCATGAGTAAATGGGTCTTAATAGGGACTGGGAGCACTGTATTTTCCTAAGCTGTGGAAGACAAGCACTATTACATAATGTCATCTTCTCTGTTGGCTATGATATTTAAAACCAGCATTTCAAACAGATCTATCCATACCTTCATCTGCAACTGTCCTCCTTAACATAATCCAAGGCCACTAACGTTTCCTTATTCAGATCTTGCTTGAAGGTTCACCTTTGCTGTGACTCCTACAGGAAGCTAGCCAGTTGGTAATGGAGTCCTTGATAATTGGAGTCGGTATATCTTTGACCTGCACATAACACCCACGCAAGCTGAATAATCAGAATGTGTCCAAGTGCCATCACTCTTATTTATTTGCTGTTCCCTTTTACACCAACTCTTTCTCCCTGTCTGTTTTGTCCATTTAGAATGGGAGGTATTTGGACAGGAACCGTTTCCTCTTTTGTGATTGTTCTGCACCAAGCATCTGGAAATAAGTAGCATTAATAATGCGGCTCCTGAATTGAAATAGCATTTGGGGCATCACCTCTTCATGGAGATTGCAACCAGTGGATCAGTATAGTTGCAGATTCCTCTGACCATATCTTCATGTCACCCCTGAAATTTTGGATGAAACCATTAAGGTTTTCTGTTTTCCAGCATGAAATGATGCATCTTTCCCATGGTCTTCACCCCATGTCCCCCACCTTAACACAGAGAATAAATATTAACTCATTCAAAACCCTTTAAGGCCACCAAGGGGAGTGGCAGCTTTTGTGACCTTTGGAAAGGGTTTGGAAATACTCTTCCTTAAAAATCTCTCTCCTTTCAGGTCTTTGATGGCGCTGTGATAATCTTATCCTTGGCTCCAATGGTGGCCTCCACAGTGGCCAATGGCTCAAGCAGTCCATGGGATGCCATCAGTCTCATTATCACTCTGCGGATTTGGAGAGTTAAGAGAATTATTGATGGTAAGTGGTGATTAAATGGTGTCATGAGAATGCCCAGGATTGGCAGCCCTCATAACTGTTTGTAGAGAATAATTTTATTTTTCTCTTTCCTCTACATTTTAAAAGCAGTGAACAGGTGTATAGCATTATGATCCCCATTGATGAGACTGGGAATCAGTTTTTAGGCTAAATACCCTGTTATGATTTTTTTTGGTTTGTTATATACCTTCTCCTGGCATACAGATATATGTGACTTGTTTTCCTTCCTGTCTTTTCTCCCCAAACACCCCTTCTTTGTAGTGCCAGATAAGCATCTTGAATCTGACCCTTCTGCAACTGCTGTCTGTCCACTCTGGCATCTTCCATCTTTGATTCCTTTTGCTTTTGGTTTCTGTCTTTAGCATAACTCTGTGTCTGATGCTTTGTGCTTTCTCTGCATCTTGGAGGTTCCCCACTGAAGATGCACTCTGCAAACCTATGTGTGCTATTGGGTTTGATTTTTAGGCATGTTCCAGTGCTATTTTGCACAGGATTCTGGGACACACCTCCATTGGGGAGGCACCAGGAGAATATTCTGAAGTGTTGACACTGCAGAGAACAGAAGCAATGAATCTGGAAACAAGGAATCAAGGAAAGGAGATGTTAGAGGTGATGTAGGGCAACTAGATCCATTATCAAAGTATAAGTTGCTCTGGTATAAACCTAAGGGATTTCACAATGCAAGTCACTTTCCTTCTGTGTGAGAAAAATTAGTATCAGGTTGGCACGTCTGGCCTAGGTCACGAGGGCTTCCAAAATGCAAGATGAGGCCCAGTAGTCTAGTAGGGTGAAGTCAGGGTCTGATTCAGGTTCTAAAGAATATCAAGGAATGCAGTAAATTTTGAGCAGTCTTGCCAAACAATTTGAACTTGCCCTAGTTGTGACTTGAAGGAGATTTTTCTAGGCAGATAGGCATCCAACTCCTGTTGAAGTCAGTAGGAGTTGGTTGCCTTCATACCTTTGAAAATCTCTCTCGTAGTCTATAATTTCCCTTCATATAGTTGCTTTCTGCAGTTATATTTAAGAACCAAAATACTCAAGGACTAAAATACCTCCCCTGGAACCTGGTGCATACCTATACAACATACAAAATTGGAGGGGATGAATGGGACACCAAGCAGAGAACAATCCTGCCTGGCCACTGAGAAGAACTAATATTTGCTGGGATAGACATGCATTTGTGTAAAAGATCAGGCAAGTGTTGCAACAAGTATTTCAACTGGTGACAGAGATTTCACTGTGCGCATCTACACGTGCATTTGCTCTGGGGTGGGCTTACTCTAGAGTAAAGTACTGTAGAGTAAACCCACTGTGAGCAGATGTCTGCACGTGCAGGGATGCTGCAGCAGCTCATCTGCTCCTGGCAGCAGTCTGCTCCCACCCCCTCTGGCCCTGCACCGGCCCCCTACAACAGCCAGAGAGAGCTATAGGCTCCTCCCTCCTGGGTGGTAGACCAGGGGCAGGCAGGGAGCACAGGACCAGGAGACAGCTGTCTCCTGGCAGGGGCTAGGAGATTGCTCTCTGCTCTCAGGCGGCTGCCTGCTGCTGAGGTAGGCTCCACCACCGGAGCCCGGGAGGGGACAACCTCCCTCTGCCCCAGCAGAAGGGAGCTCCTTGCCCCGGCTCCTCAACTGGGGACAGGGGACTTGGAAATCGCTGCAGGAGAAAATCAGGTCCCAGCCCCCCGCCCCAATCTACCAATGGGGCAGCTAGCAGCAAGGTCCTGTCTGGGTGGGCATTCCCACTGCTCAGGGCAGGAGGCTGGGATCTGCCCCTCACCTGCAGCTCTTTCCAAGCTTTACACCTCAATTGCCCTATTGGGGCATGAGGCTGGGACCTGCCCCCTGACTGGGACAGTCCCCAGCCCCCACTCCACCATTGCAAGGCAAGGACTGGGAACAATCTCCACACCCTTCGCTCCCCGATCATGATTAGGGAGTGGGGGCTGGGAGCTCCCTGCTGCCTGGGCATGGGGACATTGACCCTGCCCAGGCTTCAGTGGCCCAGTAGCAGGCAGCTCCCAGAGGCAGGGAGCAATCTCTCATCCCTTGCTGCCCAGCTGACCAAAAGCAAGTTTGCTCCCAGTCAAGTGTCTACACATGTGCTACTGTGCAGTTACTAATCTTGAGTAAATTTGCTACTTGCATTTGCAGGTAGCAAATTTACTCATTATTAGAGCACATTCCTGTGCAGTAAGCGTCTGCATATGTAGATGTGGACACTTACTGCACAGTAATTAGCTCTTCTGCACAATAAAGTGTGTCATATATTTCATAGATTTCATAGACATTAGGGCTAGAAGGGACCTCGTGAGGTCATGGGGTCCAGCCCCCTGCCCAAGGAGCAGGAAGTCAGCTGGGGGTCAAATGATCCCAGCAAGATAGGCACCTAAGTGTTCCTTAAAAGTGTCCAGAGTAGGTGCTTGCACTACCTCTGCAGGGAGTCTATTCCAGGCCCTGGGGACTCGGTCAGTAAAGAAGTTTTTCCTTATGTCCAACCTAAAACTTTCTTCCAGAATTTCGTGACCATTGGACCTTGTCTTCCCTAGGGGTGCCCTGGTGAACAGATGTTCTCCCAGTTCCTGATGCACACCCCTGATGTACTTATAGGCTGCCACCAAGTCGCCCCAGAGCCTTCGCTTCTCCAGGTTGAAGAGTCCCATGCCTCTCAGCCTTTCCTCATAAAGCCTGCTCTCTTGTCCTCTAATCATGTGCGTGGTTCTCCTCTGGACTCTTTCAAGCTTCTCCACATCCTTTCTAAATCATGTAGATGCACCCACTATAGATCTGAGAATCTCTGATGCCCAAAGGTGGAGGTCCTTATGATTACGTAGGATAGATAACCTTTTCTAAAATAAAAGCTGTAGCTCAACCACAAGTGTTTGTGTTTATTGCAGGAATGACTGGGTGAAAATCTACAGCCTTTTGTTCATAGGAGATTAGAATAAATCTAATGCTTTTTTGTAGTCTTAAAAACTAGGTAGATGTTCCATTGAATAAGTAAAAATATAGATACATTTCTTCAAGTTTTTACTTGTGTTTTTTAGCCTATGTACTACCAGTGAAAGTGGAAATGGAAATGGTGATTCAACAATATGAGAAGGCAAAAGTCATTCAAGATGAACAGCTGGAAAGACTAACCCAGATCTGCCAAGAACAAGGGGTAAAGTTCTATTATGTTTTTATTTACATATTTCTTGTCTGAGATACTAATGTCATGGTGACGGAAATGGCCTGTGTGAGTTGCCAGATCTGAAGTTAGAAAAACCCTATTAGGGTTTCGTTAGAAAAATTACAGGCTTCAACATGATCCTGCAGGAGCCTCAAGTGTTGAGGGGCAGGCAGCTTCCTGCAATCCTTAGCTGCCATATGTGAAATAGACCTGACTTTAGACCAGATGGGTATTTCAAACAGTTTTACCTTTAAGTGGGGATAGCAACTACTTCTTTTCATTTTTAAAGGAGAAAGCAAATGAGCACTTTTCTAATAACTCATTTATTAGCTATCTATGGAAATCTTGACACAATAAACAGAATAAGTGGATGTTGTTGGATTTACTGGACATTGCATTTATATTAATCCTATTTGCAGTAAAAGAACCTACAGTGGAAAGCTAATAAATTGCCTAAAATCTTGTTTTCTCTGAAATTGCACTAGCTTTAAATGCAGCAGGCAGCTTCCTAGTGCGCCTGTTTGAGACTTCTGGCAGACTCAAAAATACTGCAGTAGAAGCTTCTAGTTGCTGGAAGCAACTCAAGATTTTTCAGATCCTCCCAAGTCCAATTGTATATAGTAATTCAGTCTTTAAAGAAAAATGAGATGCAATGCGAAGTGTTTCACATGACTACATTTAAAAAAAAGTTGGGAGAAAAATATCACTGTTTTTGGCAGTGACCCAAGTGTTTTGAATTACAGTTGGTAGCACAAAAAGAACTATTGAATTACTAGTTTTTAAATCTATTCTCTTTAGCAAAAGCCAGTTGCATGCAGCCAGCCAAAGCAAATTGAGCATCAGGTTGTCTTTCAAATAAAACATTGTTATCCCATAAAGATTATTTCTGTTCTTATTGGACAGTGGTAAATATTTGTATTTCAGTTACAGTTAGATACTCTGACTGAGATCAGTGCCCCATTGTGAAAGATTCCTGTGCAAACACACCAAAGAGACACTCTCCCAGAGCTTAAAGTATAAGTGTAAGAGCAACAAGAAAGACATGGAGAGAGGAAAAGACTTGCCCAAGGTCACACAACAGGCCAATGGAAGAGCTGAGAACAGGTACCTAGGTCTCCTGCTTCTGATGCATTGCAATCAGGGATAATGGGAATTGTGTATTTTCTGAATTTAGGGAGTTCAGTGCTGACTGTTTTCAGAGGTAGTTGTTCACAGCACAGCACTCTTTGGACAACTTGTAAATTTACCTTTAACTAGCGTCTAAGTACTAGGCCCCAGTCCCGAAACAAATTAACTTAAAGTCTTTCTTCTAAATGAAAGTCTCTGCAGAACTATATCCTTAATTTTTCCAGACGTTGGTAATAATGCTTAACAGAACTACACACACTTTTGTTAACTCATCCTCTTACTGCCTCTGTAAGTAAGGTAGATAAATTGTATTATCCCTGTTTTGCAGATGAAAGAAAGATTATCATTTCACCAAGACCACACAGTAAGGTAGTGACAGAGGGGGGATTTGAACACAGAATTTCCTGAATAGTGATAGAACAGGAATTTGAACAGAGGATTTCCTGAATCCCATTCCAGTGTTTAATCTGTTAGCCCACACGCTTATTACAGCTCTTCCCTTAAAGGGATAGTGGAAGGTTAAAAAACATCCATTTTAATACACATATTTCTATGTTTGTGTTGAATTTGTTGACCTATTAAAACTCAAGTAGTTTTGGGCTTGATTGCTTCTCATTAAAGTGGAAGTAGCCCCCTTCCTGGAAGGGGAAGTAGCGTGGTGTAAAAGGATTTAGTGGACATGAGTATTGGACCATCCAGTCTAATCATAGGTTTTGTGTTTGCTTTCCTTATGACATTTTTCTAAGTGCAGAAATAAAAACAAGCCCGTTTCCTTTGTGCTCCTTTTCCCGAACATCTGCTAAAGTGAGCTCTGGCTCATGAAAGCTTACGCATCTCTGATTCATTTAGTCTATGAGATGCATCTCTACCCTGCCTTCTCCCTTTTCCTTTGGTTATGTTCCCTTTCACTTTTAGGGTCTCAGCCTGAGCGGACAGTGTTTAGTTTGGGGGGGGATTTTATTTTTATTCTTCCCTTTCATCAGAAGGGGCAGAGTAAATTGAAACTGTAACATTTCTTTTCGTCCTGGGAGTTTGCTAAATTTGGATAAATTTGTGGTACCCAGGCAAAAGGACTGGTATCTTACAGCGTTTACAAGAACATCAGGCATTAGGGCAAAGAAGAGTCCTACTAACACTAGATTCTGCCAACATCTACCAGACACAGCCTGTGCTGTCAGTCAGCACACCCATATGTTACACCAGGGGTTTTCAACCTTTTTGGATCAATGTACCTCCAGTGGCTGGACACAGAACAATGTACCCCCAGCAGAGGGTGGGGGTGGTGTGCAGCTGGACCCAGAGCGGGGAGGGTGCGTTTTGGGGGGGGGGCCGCAAAGCTGGAGCAGTGGCAACCCCACATCTGGCTGGGCAGACAGTGCCTGCGCGGCAGCGTGGGATGGTGCGTGGCAGTGCTCCATCCCCACCTGCCCACATGTACCCCCAATGCCTTCTCAAGGAACCCCAGGGATATGTGTACCCCCAGTTGACAACCCCTGCATTACACCAAAGGAAATATTGCACTGATAGCTGGGGTGAATCTGCAGGAACAGACCAGGTTCCTTCCTCCTTTCCAGGTGTCATCTGCTGTAGAAAAAAAAAGACTAAAGACAAATGACAATGTACTAATCTTCATTTTAATATCTTGAATTCCTGCCAGACAAATGTCTTAGCTGTATAATATCCTGTAAATGTACTAATTTGCTGCAGTTAGCAACATAAGACATTGACACAAGCACTGCATCCTCCCTTCATAAATTAACAGCTTCATAATTCAGTCAAGAACAAGTTGTCAGCATTATAATATTGGCATTAACACCGTATACAGCTTGTAACTGAGAAAATGTATCATAATATTCTTTAACGTTCTGCAGGTCCCTGAACACATGAGTTTACATTTTCAACACTAGCTTTTTAAATAGTGGCTGCTTCTTGGTGCTTGTTCACTTGAAAGTGAGCGACCATATTTTCTAGCTGATTATATTGATTTTGCACAAGGAAGTTCTTTTCAGTACAAACAGGGTCTCTTAAGATGGTAACTTATGGAAGAGATAGATAACAGGAATCAGAGAGACCGAGAGAGAGGGAGAAGCCAATAGAGGGAAGTTGGGGGGAAGAAGAAATAGGGTCAGATTACACATTAGAGTTAACAAGTGCTAATTCTAAGGAATGTTAGTTTGTGTTAAGGTTGCTTAGTGCTAGTGATCAGTCACATATTTGGGGTTAAAATGATCTCTAATGTACACTAGTCTGACCTGCCACTGGAGGGCTGGCTAGGGGCTGCAAGTCTCCTCCATTCCTGCCCTGCTTGCCAGCTTTCTCACTACGGTATAAACCAGGGATGAGGAGGCCCCATACCACTTGGATTGCTCTCTCCACTTTCCAAATCACCTTGGACCCCCCCCCCCCCGCC